ACAAAATTCTATATAAAAAAAGAACATTCATAAAAGGCATAAAATATATGTTGAATTCTAAATTTGACTTCAAATTTTAATTTTAACTTTTAACTTTTATAATGCACAAAGAAGCACTTTAACTATCCAACTTTAAATCAATAAAAACATGAGTGTTACATGGCAAAATACACCTAGGATACCACGTAAGATGAAAAATGACATGTAGAATAACCTGTAGTACATGTGTGTCTATTTGTTCAACTTTCTACAAATTTAAATGTTATGCATATCCAAAATTAAAGAATATAAATATAATTCAAAGCAAATTTAAAGAATATATTTATGTATTATCCCTTCGTAAAATCATATTATTTCAAATTAAGAGTCAATTATTCAACCCATAAAAACATCCAAAACATTATAAATAGGAATATATTTTTTTTAAATCAAAAACCTAAAAAGAAAGAAATTTATGCAAATGATCAAATTTTAGAGTTGCCGAAAAATGTTGCACCTCAGAAGCACAAACGGCAAACCTCCCGTCGGCGTCGAATATCTCTTCGTTTTGCCCAATCGCCAAATCCTACAATAGGAATATAAACTTTGTGATCAAAGTAAGTTCAATTCACTTGCATTATACATCTTCGTTTTCGAATTCTGTCCATATATGCTTGTGTTCAACTGATTATACGTTCTAGACCTCAATGAATTTGTGTTTCTTATTATGAGTTATGTTTGACGAATTTTATTTGAAATGAGTTTATGAGATAATAAGTATTAGTTGAGTGACCATGACACGAGAAATCGAACTCGCTAAACTAGAATTGACTATTCAAAGTTTCATTGCGGATTGCACTGTGATATTCGAGACGCTTTGCGATTATTGATAATCTGATGCTAGTTGGTTAGTGTTATACATGCATACTATCTGTTTGATGAAAGTTCGGGCGATAATGCAAGCTCTAAGGATCAATATGCTCTGTTAGCAACTGAATCCTCTGGTGTTCCTTATGCTTTGCTATATCTTGTTTTAAAAATTGATTTGCACCTCTTCTTATTTGCACGATTCCTTTTTTTTGGTTTTCGTAATTGTTATTATAAGGTTTCGTTGCTAAATGATAGAGTAAGAAAATTGGATCTTAAAAATACATAGTTATTCATGTGGAATTATGATGGTGTACATTATTAGATTCTCATATTTCAGAAAGAAGTTTAACCATGTGTGGTCATGGAGAACATTTTGCTAACAGCGGCTGAACCTTTGGTGAAATTGTGAATCCAGTGCCTTCGCTCATATCTATGGTCTCACTATTGGGCTTATCCCACTCAAAGCATTGAAGAAGTGAACCTAGTGCCAATCCAATGACATGAATTGCTAGGTTCTCACCAGGGCAACCCCTCCTTCCTGATCCAAACGGAATAAACTTGCAGCCCTCTTTGACACTCTCAAAGCCTATAAATCTATCAGGGTTGAACTTTTCTGGATCCTCCCATACCTTAGGGTCATGATGTATCCCCCATGCATTCACTAATAGGATTGTTCCACGCGGAACTCGATATCCTGCTACTTTGCACTCTTCTGATGAAAGGTGAGGCAAAAGTAAAGGGGCTGCTGGATGCATCCGCAATGTCTCATTGATAATGCATCTGATGTAAGGAAGTTGAGCCAAATCGGATTCATCAATTAGACGGTCTTGTCCAACCTGATTGTCAATTTCAGTCTGTGCCGTCTTTAAAATTTCTGGATTGTCAAGCAAGCGTGAAAAAGCCCATTCTAGTGTTATTGCTGAAGTGTCTGATCCAGCTTGGAGTAGGATCTACATGTATTAGAAAACAGAGTGCATAAACTAGTCAACAACATTTAAAGGAACAGTAGATATAGACAGAAGCAAAGACACTCTGTAGGGTCAATGATTTTGGTAGTTCAAATATAGCTTTCATCTCAAGATCTATATCCAGGGTAGGGTAGTGCATATGTAAGTAGAATTATAATAGTCAACATCACCTGCCTATACTATGTCCTCCCTCCATTTCAATTTATTTGTACTGGTTTGACTTGACAGAGAGTGAAAGAAAGTAAAAAAGACTTTTGAATCTTGTGGTCTAAACATGACGTCATGTGGTATGTTGAAATTTACGAGCTGTCAAATTAGAAAAAAGACACTCTTTTTTAAATAAAAAAGAGAAGTAATACAAACAAACTGAAACAGAAGGAGTATATATCAATCTTGGTACGGAAGCATTTAGATTCATCTAATCATGTCTTTTTATCAAGAAACCCCAGCAGTATACCAATTTGTATCAAGTTCCATCTGAATCTTAACATAATATTAACTCAAGATAACACAAGCAAAGACAACAATGAAGACAATCTTCATGTACAAAAAGAAAAAATATAGATGTCTGATAGTCTTACCAGCAGTAGGTTTCTAATCATTTTATCTGTGTAGTATTTGGGGTCTGTTTTCTGTAAATCTACAAAACTTCCATTATTGTTTTCTTCTTCCCTGCGACAACCTCTGCTGAAGGAAAAGAACCACTGCTCTTTAATCGACTATGCTCGTCTATTTCCTTTCGCATAAAGTTATCTTTCTTCTTCTGTAGTTCCATCATCTTTTCCTCAACACTATGCAATCCAAACCACCTCATAAATGGCAAGAAATCCAAAATATTAGTCTTTGGAGCAGTGTTTATTGTATCCTTTGATATATCCTGGAATAGCATAGCTTCTTTTGAGTTCTCCCCATAGTATCTTTTCCCTGCAATCATTCTTGATATCACGTTGAACGTGAAGTTAAAAAGAGATGATTTCATCTCCACAATTATTTCCGAACTCTCTATGGAGACTCTAAAGAGTCTACGAATCAGGTAGTTTATTTCATCAGAACGGATGATTGATAGTGTCTGAATTCTATAGGAAGATAAAACTTCAAGAGTGGAAATTCTTCGAAGATTTCTCCAGTGCTCTCCATAAGAAGACCAAGCGAGGATAGTAAAATTGTACCCGAAATACTTACCACTGAGAAAATCAGGACGATTGGCAAAGATGATATCATTTTTAGTAAAACATTCTTCTGCTACTAAAGGTGATGAAACAAGGAGGACAGGCCGAGAGCCAAATTGAAGAAACACTACTGAACCGTAATGATTCGAGACTTTGAATAAAGCCCTATGGAAAGGTCTACTCAATAAGTAGAGATGGCCAATGAAAGGGAGTGCTGGAAATGGGCTAGGTGGAAGGTTTTGTAGCTTGTTAAGAAAATGGTGGCTTATGATATAAAGAACAAGGAACAGAACTGGGAAATACAGACAAAGACTGTCCATGGATGATCAGAATTGTAGTATTATGTCTGATAATTATCTAGTTTTATTATACTTGTATGAAGATCTTTGCAGCTTAGACAAGAATAAATAAGTGTCATCAAGTCTTGATTTTGTAATCTAAATTGATCAATATTTAATCCCTACTAATGTAGGTTAGTTGTAGAAATTTATTATTTATAGAAATGTTATCCTTGTAATCAAACAGGAAGGAATTAAATACTAACAAGTAAACATCCAATAAACAGGACCTTAGAATTTATTTAGGCAATTGAAGATTGATGACGAATGACAAGACACAATTTTTCTGGATGTACTCTAATTTAGGTTCATTTGTCCGGTATCAAATATGCATTAATATATGCAGTGTATATGTATTCAATATCAATATCATCAATGCATCCAATATCAATTTTATCTGGTGTATCCTTTATCAGTTTCATCCAATTTCGTGTATCAAGTATCAAATATACATTGATGTATTCGTGCTTAGATATGTGTACCTGGTATCACATATGCACTTATACATTCATCAAGTAACCAATATCAAATATGGACTGATGTATTAAGTGTATTTATACACAGATACATATCAATCATTATTTCTAGACATGTAAACATTGTCCCCAAGTAAAATTAAACCAAAATCAGAACTGAATAGTTTATGAAAGTGATACTCTGTGTTTAAATAGTTATAGTAGCATGTTTGCTTAGTCAGGTAATTTTTTCATCATTGAAACCCATAAAACAATAGATCCAAAATGTTGAAACATCATCTTAAATACTCTAATTTTCAAACAACAATCGCTAAAGGAAGAGATCTGGAAAATTGAATAGGTCGTCAATGAATCGGGAACTCAGAAGCACAATTTTCTTCCTTTTGCTCAATTGCCAAATCCAACAATAGGAGTATGAACAAGGCCTTCACATTCTGATCAAAGTAAGTTCAATTTTTTCACTTCCATTATACATCTTCATTTTCAGATTCTCTCCATATATGTGTGTTCGAGTGCTGATACCTTCTTGACCTCAATGAATTTATGAGTCTTATGAGTCATGTTGGTGAAGTTCAATGAATTTTATTTGAAATTCTTTTGGAAACGCCTCGGGTTTACCTTTGCTCAACTTAATTTTGGTTTTCGTTAATTTCACTCTAAGATATTGATTATACTTTATAATTTGTCTGCATTATTCTAAGGGGATGGTATAGTACCAAAGAAGTTATAACTCTAATTATTATGTCATGACTCTAACTTCTAAGGGGACAGTGTAGTGCCGAAGAAGTTATAACTCTAATTTCGTTAAATGTTCGAATTGTGTAATCATCAGTTATTGACATTGGTAAGCGACCCAAAGTGATCTAATTATAATTCAATTCGTGACTTCAAATTTGAATTGCTTTCCTGTTAACCGCGTAAAAGAAGCTTTTGGTATTTGTGCTCCAAGATGCACTATAAATTGCTACTTCCTTTTGGTTACTGTTGTATTTAGAGAGTTCATTTCCTACATGATCACTCAACTCATTGTTATTATCGCATTCACATCTCTTCTTGATTATTCCAATGTTTTTCAATAAAAAAAATGACTTTCTGAGATAATATAATTTTGTTATGTGACCATATTAGTTCTAACTCTCTAAACTAATGACTATTCAAGGTTACAGTCACAGATTACTTTCTAATAATGGGCCCATGATATTAGAGAAGCTTTGCTATTATTGATAATCTGATACGAGTTGTGAGTTTAAACATGCATACTATCTGTTTGATGAAAGATCGGGTTATAATGTTAGCTCCAAGAATCAATATGTTCTGTTAACAACTGAATCATCTGCAGTACTATAGTCACCATTATGGAACTTATGCTATAAGGTATTCCTTATGCTTTGCTATATTCTTGCTTCAAAAAATGATTTGCTCTTCTTCCCTCACGATTCCTCTTTGTTTTTTGTACTTAATATTATAAGGTTTCATCGCTGAGTGACAGAATAAGAAAATTGGATCTTAAACTTTCTAAGTTATTCATGTGGAAGTAATGGCATACATTATTAGAATCTTGTTTAGGATCAGATTTCAGAAAGAAGTTTAACCATGTGTGGTCGTGGAGAACATTTTGCCAATAGCGGCTGAACCTTTGGTGAAAGTGTGAATCCAGTGCCTTCACTCATATCGATGATCTCCCTATTGGGTTTATCCCACTCAAAGCATTGAAGAAGTGAGCCTAGTGCCAATCCAATGACATGAATTGCTAGGTTCTCCCCAGGGCAACCCCTCCTTCCTGATCCAAATGGAATAAACTTGCAGCCCTCTTTGACACCTTCAAATCCTAAAAATCTATCAGGATTGAACTTTTGTGGCTCCTTCCATACCTTAGGGTCATGATGTATCCCCCATGCATTCACTAATAGGACTGTTCCACGCGGAACTCGATAGCCTGCAACCTTGCACTCTTCTGATGAAAGATGAGGCACAAGTAAAGGGGCTGCTGGATGCATCCGCAATGTCTCATTGATGATGCATCGGATGTAAGGAAGCTGAGCCAAATCGGATTCATCAATTAGGCGGTCTTGTCCAACCTTATTGTCAATTTCCGTCTGTGCTGTCTTTAAAATTTCTGGATTGTCAAGCAAGTGTGAAAAAGCCCATTCTAGTGTTACAGCTGAAGTATCTGATCCAGCTTGGAGTAGGACCTGCATGCATAACAAACAGTGTATAAATTAGTCAACAACCTTTGAAGGAACAGTAGATATACACAGAAGTAAAGACACTCAATAGGGTCAATGATTTTGAAAGTTCCAAATATAGCTTTCATTTCAAGATCTAGAACCAGGGTAGGGTAGGAAATATACAAGTAATCAAAAAAGCCAATGTCACCTGCCTATACTATTTATTCCCTCCATTTCAATTTGTTTGTCTTAGTTTGACTTGACACAGAGTTAAAGAAAGTAAATAAGACTTTTGAATCATGTAGTTTAAGGGATGTTGAGATTAAAGTGTTGTCAAATCAGGAAATAAACATTTTTTTTGAAACAAATTAAAAAGAAAAGTAATACAAACAAATAGAAACAAAAGGGAGTATATATCAATGTTAGTACGGAACATTTTAGATTCATCTAAGCATGTCTTTTAATTAAAAAACAGTAGCAATATACCAATTTGTGTCCAGTTCCATTGAAGCTTAACATAGTATAAACTCAAGATAACACAAGCAAAGAAAACGATGAAAATAATCTTCTGTGGTGGATCTTCAGGAATAAAAATAAAAACAAAACATATAGATCATGTCTGATAGTCTTACCAACATTAGGCTTCTAATTGTTTCATCTGTGTAGTATTCGGGGTCTGTTTTCTGTAAATCTAACAAAACTTCCATGATAATTTTTTTCTTCCCTGCCACAACCTCTGCTGAAGGAAAAGAACCATTGGTCTTTAATCGACGATGCTCGTCTATTTCCTTTTGCATAAAGTTATCTCTCTTCTTCTGTAGTTCCATCATCTTCTCCTCAACATCATGCAAACCAAACCACCTCATAAATGGCAAGAAATCCAAAATATTAGCCTTTGGAATTGTTGTTATTGTAGCCTTTGATATATCCTGGAATAGCTTAGCTTCTTTTGAGTTCTCTACTTTCTCTCCATAGTACCTTTTCCCTGCAATCATTCTCGATAGCACATTGAATGTGAAGTTAAAAAGCGATGATTTAATCTCCACAATTTTTTCCGAACCCTCTATGGAGACTCTAAAGAGTCTACGAATCAGGTAGTTTATTTCATCAGAACGGATGCTAGATAGTGTCTGGATTCTATAGGAAGATAAAACTTCAATGGAGGAAATTCTTCGAAGATTTCTCCAGTGCTCTCCATAGGAAGACCAGGCAAGGCTAGTAAAATTGTACCCGAAATGCTTACCACTAAGAAAATCAGGACGATTGGCAAAGATGATATCATTTTTAGTAAAACATTCTTCCGCTGCTGAAGGTGATGAAACGAGGAGGACAGGACGAGAGCCAAATTGAAGAAACACTACTGAACCATAACGATTCGAGACTTTGAATAAAGCTCTATGGAAAGGTTTACCCAATAAGTAGAGATGGCCAATAAAAGGTAGTACTGGAAATGGGCTAGGGGGAAGATTTTGTAGCTTGTGAAGAAAATGATAGCTGATGATATAAAGAACAAAGAAGAGAACTGGGAAATACAAATAAAGACTGTCCATGGTTGATCAGAATTAGTATTATGTCTGATAATTATCTAGTTTTATTAGCTTGGATTAAGATCTTAACAGCTTAGACAAGAATAAATAAGTATAATTAGATCTTGGCTTTGTAATCTAAATTAAACAAGAAGTATCTTGCTGGCTAATAGGTATTTGTTTAATCCCTAATAATGTAGGTTAGTTGTAGAAATTTATTATTTATAGTAAAGTTATCCTTGTAAACAAACAAGAAGGAATTAAATACTAACAAATTAAACATCCAATAAAGAGGACCTTTGAATTTATTTAGGCAATTGATGATTGATGACGAATGGCAAGACGCAATTTTTCTGGATTTACTCTAATTTATTTTATTGGAGCAATGGCCCCTAATTGAATTTAATATTTGCTAACGTTAGTTTACACACAGCTTGTGCTGAAGTATACGAATATCCGATTTTGGGACCACTATTTAAGTCATAGGCGACTTTTTTTTTTTGCAAATTTATCCATTTCGAGAACATTTTTAAACATACTCAAAGTTGAATGTTTGTTGGAATGATTGAAGTTCATTCACATATGATCAAAGTGTTATGGTATATTTGCACACATTTCAGCATAGTATATGATGTTTGACCTAACAGTCTTAAACACTTCAGACAATTATTTAGTTGGCATAGTCCATGTTTGAAGTTGGTTTAAATGAAATATTTTATAATTTTTCTCTGATGTTTGGATTAACGGTCCCAAACTACATATATTCTTGATGAAATTATTGACTTCACGATTGCTACCTTCCTTGGCTTCCATCAATACATGTGATGGAAATAAATCACCTAATTTCTTTTTCGATTGGAATTTAATCCTCGAGTTTTTCTTAGTTATCATCTGGTTTATTGACTGGTAGGCCATGGTTAGTCTACTTGCTTCTGCATCTTGATTTCAACGTTGTAATAGTGTATTATATATATATATATATATTTGATACAGCTTACGTTTTCTTCTTTAAACGTAGGTTGTTTGTTTGTGTATTGTTACTGGTTGATATACAGGAACCTAATCTATTTAATAAATATGGTTCTGCAGAAATCTAGTATAGTTGAAAAGCAAACGCACTTGTCCTTTTCCTGTATTTATTGTATTTTATTATTCTATTTTGTTGCATTTTTTCTACTAAATTTATTTGAAGGAAGCATGCATCTTACGATTACGTGATTGAAAAAGAAAAAAAAGTCCTTAATAGATTTAGCTTTGAGTAAACATTGTAGGGACCCCTAACATCACTAGTCACTAGTAATAAATGTCAATTTGTCAATATTCATACACAACAGTGAAAAAAATAAAGTCAACTTGTTTCTTCCCCACCCCACCCCTACCCCCAACCCCTGCTCATTTTGCATTATGTGAAAGTTACACGGGCCTGAATTATTCAGTCATCTAATTTATATATTATGCAAAAAAATATTTTTGCACCAAACATACATGTAGTATACTTATAACATACATATTCATATAATGTGTATATTTTTATCATATGATAAATTAGTTGGTTTAGCGATATATTTGGTAGGAAAGTTTTTTTTTTTAATTGAGGGTTAAAATAATCCTGACATTACATCTCAATCAAGCGATCATGTCTAATAAAAGGAAGGCAAAAAAAAAAAACGCTACCAAGTTAAATTAATACTAGGAGAAAGTATAAGGAGCTAATAAGTTTAATGCAATCTATTGAGTAGACTACTTTTGTGAATAGTTGATGATTACTAACTTGCTAACATTGATTTCAAGTTTATTTACAAGAAAAATGAATTATAAATCTATTGCGTATTTTTATGAAGTTGGAATAAGGACTAAGGTTTGCGTATATTATTATTTTTCTCATTGTACTGATATGATCATTTGGTCATGGGTGGCTTAACTTCTTCTGTATGGGTTTATGTTATGATACGATTGTTAGAATTTTTATGTTGTTGTTTTATCAATATTGAGTGGGGAATCTTAGTTGGTTGGCTAGGATTTATAAGGATGAAGTTAAATTTATATTGTATTTAATTGAATAAATTAGTTTTGAAATTATAATTTTAAAACTATAATCAATCAGTCCACATACCAAACGACCCCATCTTTTCATACCTGGAATAGAAATTGTAATTTATTTTCTTGATTAGTCAGAATACAGAAGTTTGCTAATGTAATTTATTTTCTTGATTAGTCAGAATACAGAAGTTTGCTAATGTTTATTATTTTATTTTTGTATCTGATCCTATAGATACATAGGGTTGGCCGGCAATACTTCGAATAGACAGATAAAAAATTAGTAATTTTATGATAATTAGTTAGCTTTGAAGGTTAGTTAACCAAATAAATTAATTTATTTTAGTGAATAGAAAGAATTTTGATTAGTTGGTTGTAAATAGTTGATAATCTGAAATTTTTTTTTTTGAGAAAAGACATAAAATCACTATTGAAGTTGTCTCAGATTTTCATAAAGACACTTTAACTTTGCAATTGTCCTATTACCCCACTAAATAATTTTGAACATATATTATAATACCATTTTTCGATCAGCCACAAATCTTAAGAAGCAAGTATTGCATGACATGTGTTAATTTAATTAAAAATATTTTTTTTCATTTTAAATTTTTTCCTATCTTTTTTCTTCTTCTTGATTTCTCCCTCCCTCTCTTACTTTTTTATTTTTAATTTTGATATATCTCAAATTTCATTTCATTTTCCATCTCCCACAAGTGATTAATCCATTCATTTCCTTTTTTTTCTTCACCTCCCACCCCCCATGTCAAATTGAAACTCACTTCTTTTTTTTATTTTTTTCTTCTTCTTTTCCGGTCAAATTCTTTATAAAATTCATACTATTATTTAGACTTTATTGAATTATTGATAATAAAATTAATTATTTTTTAAGAAAATTTAAAATTTTGAAGGTACCATCAACTACTCATTTTTCATATATATTAGAAATGCTAATTTTAAAAGAATCAATTAATTTCTAAAAAATTGAAAGAGCTTAATTAAAATCGAATAAAAAAAATATATGATACTTCATAATCATCTTGAAATTTAATGAATTTATTGAATTGTTCGAAATGTAAGAAATATTTAGATAAAATTTTAAAAACTAAAGAGAGTAAAACTAGTAGTAGTAATAAAAAAAAAGGTGAAATTGTGATAAAAATGGTGACATTGAAAGTAAGATTCTTCAATGAATGGAGGTGACAATGAATTTTTGAAAAGAAAGAAGAAAGAAAGAGAAAAAATAAAAAGAAAAAAAAGTTAAAATAATAAGAAAAATAAGAAAATATATTTTATAATAAAATACTTGTAAAAATAAAATTATATTAGTTATTTTAGGCTGCTCACTCTCTTAGAGAGAATGCACACCACTCTCTATGTCAGATACATGAAAAATGATGTAATTATATCTATTCAAAATTGTTTAGTGGGGTAATATGACAGTTGCAAAGTTAAGGTATCTTTTTTTAAAAATTCGAGACAACTTCAATGATAATTTTATGTCTTTTCACTTTTTTTTATAAGTAATTGGTACATATTTGAATAGGATTGTTTGAAAGTGATAATAATAGTTAAATGTGTTGATAAAAAGATGTTCACTAATACCTTTTCTATGAAAAAACTAGGAAAAAATTTCGAAATATATTTAAATTTTGATCGAAATTGTTGAAACGATATCAAACTATGGAAAGAATATTTTACCCCTGTAATATTTAATAGTTGCATAATTGTAAATAATAATATGTTCATGTGGGCACATATTTTTTAAAATACACTATTAAATATTGCAGGATAAAAAGTCCTCAATAAAGTTTGGTGTGGTAACAACAATTTCGGCTAAAGTTAGAATATTTTCCAGACTCTTTTCCCTAAATATTATTGAATGTTTTTAAAATCGTCTATCAAAATCATATATTTTTATCCTTTTCATTGATAGGCTTCAATTTATTGATTAAAAACAGCAATCTAAAATTAGTTTTTAATTTCAAAAAATTTAGGCAACATTAAAAATTACTTCACACATATTTTTACCCTCCGAACCTTATCAAAAAAAAAAAAACTCAATTCCTCATCTACTCACTCATAAAATGTGTTTGAGTCGGAACCTAATAAAGAGTTTGTTTTTTGGGTCGGGTCTTGAGGGATAAACAAAATGGATGAATTAATTTGGTAAAGTTCCGTGATATTTTTTAAATTTAAAAATTAGTTTTATGTTATATTTTTTTAATTTAATCTATTAATGAAAGGATGATTATACACTAATTGTTAGACAAAGAAGATATATACACACACCATCTATCTATTCAAGATGAGTGTACATAAACACCAGTTTGTAATAAGGAGTATATTCACTTTAAGTAATAAAATTGAACATATCTTTGCCCCTTTTACCATTTAAAAATAACTTTGGTATAAACCAAATAAAGGAATAAAATAGAGAAATAATTAAGAAACATATTTTTAAAAAAGTATTTTGAATACGATAGATTCAAAACAATTAACTAATAAATTAACTGTAATTTATCAACGTATAAACTTAATGTATATAGTTTAATATTCCACACTTATCACCGTCGGACGACAATCTTTGGATAATTCACGAGGCAGGAACAGTAAGTTGGTTTTGTTTTAATAATTTTAAAATCGATCAAAATTGATTTAATTTTAATTTATTCGAGAATTGTTAATTAGCAAATGAGCCAATGTCCACTCAATTGTCTCCGCTGAGGTGTCTGCCAAATAGCATATCAAATTGGTAAAAATGATTATTGATTATCACAATTGTTTTATTTTTACCATCATAATAATACTTGTTATGAAGTTATCTGTATAATTACTCAGGATTTGTTTCTCATTCCTGTATTAAAAATCACTATTATGGTTCTTTCTCAGTTTTCTTGTTGAGAATGTTGTTGATTATGTAAGATATGACTCAGTAATAAATATTGGCAAAGATGATATCAGTCTTTATATAAGTATTATTCTGTCGATATCAATTTGTTTGTCTTACTTTCTTTTTAATAAAAGAATGTTCCTTTACAAATTTGGTAACTCTTTAGTTTGAACAGCCCACGTGATATAGTTAAATCACAAGATTAAATGTTATTTTTGTATCTTTAGTTTAAGCCCGACCATTGTGTATCCCTAGACGGCTAGATCCTATTTTGTTGTTGTTGAAGCCCACAAGATTCACAAGTCATTCTTTAAACTTTGTGTCCGATCAAACTAAGACAAATAAATTGAATTTGAAATTGAATTTGAGGGAGTACTATGCTGCTCAAGGTGATGAAACAAGGGGAGGACAGGATTAGAACCATAAGGTAGAAAGATCACCACGCCATAATGATTTGAGGCTTTGAGTTAGGCTATGTGGAAAGCTCGTAAGCTGGCCTGGGCACCACAAAGTCGTTTTCTTAATTAAAAAATAAGGCTTTGTGGAAAGATTTACCTAGCAGGTTGAGTGAAGGTTTAATAGCTTGTGAAGAAAATGGTATTTGATTTTATATAGAACAAAGAACAGCAGTAGGAAGTAGAGCTAAAGACTGTTTCATTCAAAAAGGATAAAGATGATCACTATTATGTCTGATAATTTATCTAGATTTGACTATGCTAGATTGAAATAATTAAGATATGCATCTAACTTATGTTAGCTAAATTAAGTAACAAGTCTTTTTTAGACGAGGTAGTTGTTTAATCCATGATCGTTTTGGTTAGTTGTCAAGACTTGGCTCTGTTTATTAGCTGGCCTTACTGAGCTTAACAAGAAGGAATTAAAGTAGATCCTTATTGAAGAGAATTAAATTAGATACACAAAGTGAACCTCCCCGAAATAGGGCCGCCCTTGAATTGATTGTGTCAGTGATTAGTTATTGAAGCAGGGAAAGACGTAAGGCTATTTGGATCTTCCGGAGCAATGACATTTTCTTGCTTTTGCGTTTTGATTTGGACGTTTTATATATATATGGTATATGATACATCTTACAGTTTCTCTCTTGAAAACTTTGTTGTTTGTTTGTGTATTGTCACTTGTCGATAGGAACGTCATCCATTTAATATGAAACAACTGAAATCAAGGTCTGCTGGAAAAACTGATTTCACTTGTCTTTTCCGGTAGTATTGTTTATCTTATTACTCCACTCCCCCCCTTCCTTCCTTTTCTAGACAAAATTCATAAAAGGGAAGTATTTTAGTTATAGAAACAGTCTAAATAAGCTTAGCGTGAAATAACATGGAAGGGGGGCGTTTACATGAAGTACTTTCTGCCAATTAATTAACTTTTATTTGCTTAGAAGAAGTTAAACAAGAGAGATACGTCTAGGCAGATATATAAATCCTGTTGTGAAACAAAGGCCAAAGAACCATTTGATTAATGATCAGTCAGTGAAAACATGCTAGCTTTCAGTGCAATCTGTGATTATAAACAAATATACAAGTAACGTATCGCTCTCAATTAATTTAAAGGGATGAGAATTAGAAAAGAAACCTTAAACTTTCACATGAAAGTTTACCGTGACTAATCTTGTTGCACTCTTCTTTGGTTTTACTTTTGTCTGACCAGTCTGAGTACTAGGCAGAAGAAATCTAATCGAATTTGAGAAGGAAGAGGCACAATAGTTGGTCGAGGACAAAAATCATCAAACGCATAATTATCTTATATTCAACTCTAAGAAGTCACACAACTTAGTGGTTAAGAAGTCATAATTAAAAGTGTGAAGTCAAGAGTTTGGATCTACATGGCTTCTTGGTTACTTTTATACCCTTGGACTACCCTGGTCTTCTATTATTATGTGAAGCAACGTTGCCTATGTACTCCTGAACTAATCAGCAATTCAATTTCTTAAATTCCCGGATTCTCTTCTGATAACGGGCTCTTGATGTTAAAGATGCTTTATCATCCATGGTTTGATACTGGTAGATGAGTCTTTTGAGTATATGGGTACTTCTTGTATACAAGGTTTAAAACTAGGTAAAGTTGTTTCCGAGGTCACAGATTCCAGCCGCGTAAGCAGACACTAATGCTTGCATTCCCTTGGGGTTCATCCCCCTGAATCCTACTAACGCAGGATGCCTTGTGCACCGGCTGCCCTTTTATCCTTTGTCAACATACGGACACTTGCAGTACTGTTGTTACTTTCATGTCATTCCTGTCATATGGAGTTCCATAAGCTACTGTTTTCATGCTTAATAATTAGGAGTTCATTTTCATTTCTTTTTTAGTTGACTTTGGTGTAAAATATACTTTAAACAGAACAGAATGGAAGCTATAGTTGGTGATCTAGGAACTGGATCTACTCCACAAAGAAGTGATCCTTTGATATCTCTGCTTGTGCAGGCGTACAAATTTTGCAGGTATAAACGATTTTGTGCATGTACATTTTGCCACCATTTTTCACTGTATCTCGTACTTGTCATTATATTTCCTCACCGACTCCCCAGAACGAAAGAACAAAGAAGTCAGGATGTGAAATGCTTTTTTGTTTAGAGATGATGGGGTACAGTTATGGCCAGAATCATAGTTCAGAAAGAAGTTTGATCATATTTAATTGTGGACAACATTTTTCCAATAGAGGCTGAACCTTTTATGAATTTGTGAATACAGTTCCTTTACACATATCAATGATCCCGCGGTTGGTTGATAACCTGCAACCTCACACTCTTCTGATGAAAAGCGAGGTGCAAGTAAAGGGTCTGCTGGATGCATCCACCACTGTCTCATTGGTGATGCATCGGAAAGTTGAGCCAAACCAGATTCATTAGTTAGGCGGTCTTGTCCAACGAGCTAGAAAGATTCAATATTAACTGCCTATACTATATAGATATCTTGGTAAGTAACAAGTAGACATGTTTTTCTATATATCAAAGAACGTGCCAATAGTACTAGCAAAGAAATGAATGTTCTTTAAGAATGGAAAATGCATATAATACTCACTCTGAATTTTAGCTCAATATCATTTTTAGAATACAATAACATAGATGACCAATATGAATAATATACTAGTTTGGTCATGTGGTTTGAGACGAATTGTGTTCATATCTGAGAGAGAAGATTAGACATTACAGGTCGTGGGCTACATTTAGCCACCAAGGGTTGAGCTTTAGGCAAGGTGAGTCCAGTTCCTTCAGTCATATCAACCAATTCATCGCCAATCCGTTGCCAATCAAAGCACTGAATAATACATCCCAATGACAATGCAACCATTCGAACAGCCAATCCTTCTCCAGGACAACTCCTTCTTCCAGAACCAAAAGGCATCATTTTGTACCCATCTCTAACACCTTCTAGTCCTTCAAATCTTTCTGGTTTAAACTTTCTTGGTTCATCCCAAAGCTTAGGATCGTTGTGTATAGCCCACAAATTCACAAGCAACATTGTACCTCTAGGTACACGGTAGCCTCCCACAGTGGTCTCCTCAGACGACTCGTGGGGGACTAACAGAGGTCCTGCAGGGTACATTCTGAACGTCTCGTTTACAATGCAACGTAGGTAAGGTAGGTTGTTCATGTCTGACTCGTCGATTAGACGTTCATGGCCAATACGTTCGTCGATTTCAGCTTGTGCTTTCTTCAGTGTTTCAGGATGGTTTAACATAAGTGATAAAGCCCATTCCATTGTCCCAACTGAAGTATCAGTACCTGCTGCTAATAGTACCTACAAATATCAAAATATTATCAAGTTTTATTATTTACACATTAATAACAACATGAAAGATGAAATCCAGACAAAGTATTTTATTTTATTGTCGTTCTAGAAAGAACATGCTTCAAATATTAAATCCGTACGAATTTTGTTAAGATTTTTTTAATACAATAAATTGGGGACAATTGTTTTGGACACTACAAATGTTTAATTCATATCGATACAACAACCAACTACAGCTTACGTTTCAAAGAAAAAATCCTTGTTTATCTCAAAGTCAAAAAAGAAGTCATTAAACGATTTATATTTTGTGTATTAGTGGTGTCATTTGCGGTTGATCGATTATTTTCCTAAAGGGAATATTTGACCAATGTTCATCTTATAGGCTATTAATCAAATTGAAAATACATTAAAGTTTTCCACACCAAATCCTATCTTTCCATATTGGAATTACAATATTTCAACATAGTACTTCTAGAATGATTTATTTCCCTTTTTTATTTGGATTTTACCTAATCCTCTTGTAGAAGGTTCTATTATCTTATTTTTTAGGTAACTATGGCATAATATATAAATGTGTCATTTAACTTCATTTTATATTTATGTCCTTCAACTTTGGGCATGCACAAACAGATGCTTGAACAAGTAGACACATGAGTCATACATGACACAATACACGTAGGATAAAAATGACATGGAGGATGTCATGTAGGATATGTGTGTTCATTTGTTCAATTTTATACAATTTAAACGTATGCTTGTGAACACTCAAAGTTAAAAGACATAAATGTGATTTATAGTCAAGCTAAATGGTATGTTATGAAGGATAATACTCTTTCTTTTTATCTATCTATTTTTCTTTTCCTTTTTTAAACGCAAATAGTTTGACTAGCTAGAAGCGGACTAGTGGTAGGTCTTCATCCATGGTATTCTCCAAATTGGCATTCAACTTTGTACTAAACTTATTGAAACCTGCTCTCATTAAATAGCTCTTAAATCATAGAAAAGTAAATCGCACTGGTATAATGAGTGTAACTAAAGAAGACAATGGCATGGAGAATCGACCCCTAATGAATCCTTATGGATTTCGATTCGATAAATAATATGCTTAAATTTTTTTAGGATTAATGCATTATTTAAGTGACTTACAAGCATAAGGCTTCTGATTATTTCGTCTTTGTAATATTCCGGTTCCTTTTCTTGCAGTGTTAACAACACTTCAATCAACGATTTCTTCTTCCCTTCAATCTCCGAATCAGTAACAGTTCCGTCTTTCTCCATTCTCTTTCTGCAACCTTTTATCAGTCCCTGCATAAACTCATCTCTCTTCTGTTGCAACACAAGTAAACTTTTCTCCAATTTCCTCACCAACAGCTTCAACGCCGGCAGAAAGTCACCGACATTCGTCGCCCCACCGATCCTGAAAGTCTCTTCTACCATTTCCCTGAATCTTGTAGCTTCTTCAATATCCTCCACATTCTCTCCGTAGTACCTGTTTGAAAATATAATTAAGTAAATAAAATAAAATTAAACTTTAGCATATAACTTATTGGATTCACATCTACAAATATAACGAGGGCATGCACAAATAAGAACAAGTTTACGGAATTGAATAAATAAAAAAGGTAAATTTCTGTTTAAACTTTTAGATGAAATAGTTACGGATTTAATTTGCACCTTTTTCCTGCAATCGTCCTCATCATTACATTCAACATCAGCTCAAAAAACATGGATTTCATATCCACAGATTTTTCAGCCATAGCAGAGGAATTAATCCTCTTAACCATAGATTTCACTTCATCCACACGAATTCCGTGAAGCATTTGAAGACGATGAGTTGAAAACATCTCAACGGAAGTAATTCTCCGTAGATTTCTCCAATGATCTCCATAAGAACTCCAAGCCAACGATGTAAAATTATAACCTAGATGTTTTCCGGCCATCAAATGAGGGCGATTTGCGAAAACGACGTCGTTCTTCGTGAAACACTCTTCCGCTCCGGCGGGCGATGAAACGAGAAGAACTTTCCGGGAACCGAATTGGAGGAGAAGAACAGGGCCATATCGATCGGAGATTTTTGCTAAGGAACGTTGAAGAGGTTTTTTGAAGAGATAAAGATGGCCAATAATTGGGAAAGTTAGAAATGGAGCTGGTGGATGATTATGGAATTTGCGTAAAAAATGTTTGGTGATAATGTAGAAAGCTAAGAGAAGAGGAGCAGCATACAAAAATGGTGAAAGTGTGTAATCCATTGTAAATGGGAAAGTGAATGTGTTGGTTGAGTTGTTACACTTTTTAGTATTTATATTGTTGGGGTTTAAATGGAAGACTTGTGTTTGAGGGGACATTAGTCAATGGCGTGGATAATGAGGTCAGTTATTAGATGGAAAATTCAAAATCATATGAAATTATTTATTTTTAAAAAAAAACATTATATTGGTATAATAAAGAGTAAAGCTAACTATTCAATAAAAATTAGGTGATATTTTTCATTTTTTTCCTCAAGAAAACAAATAAATATTTAAGAATTGTTTTAGATTATAATTTTTTTGAAAATAATTAATCTTTAATGGCATAATAAATAAAATAGTATCCGATTAAAGGTTTTGAGAAATTATTACGAATCCTTGGCAATATTATTGTCAAAATAAGAGGCAATAGCAATAAAATATATAGATTCTATACTACAAAACTTATTCCAAAAGAAGTCTATCTATTAATTAAAGTAGGGATACCAATTAATAGTCTTGATTTTTAAGGAAACATATTAGGCATATTAGTCTAGTTCTTAGATTTTCATCATTTCTTTACTACTGTTAGCTGTCATATTTATATATTTCATCTAGTTCAAGTGTTTTTGAATAACTATTAAACCAACGGAGTAATTTTTTTTATTTTATTTTTTAATGTGTTACACTAGACGATTAACAATTTATACGATTACTAGCCACCATACCTATTCTTCTACCTATATATACTTCCACTATTGAGTGAAAGCAACGTTCCAAAGAAAACTTTAGTGTGCAATAAAAGTTGTCAACTAATCGTCCTTAGGTTGATCACACATAATTATTATTACATTTAATGTTGTTTTGTTATTGACAAGCAGAGTTGTTCAAACGTTAACCATCTTTTTTCTCCAATTTTAAAATTATGTGTTTGATCAATCACTAAAAGAAAAAGAAAAAAGAGAGGAGCTCTAATGAAGAGGCTCAAAATATGTTTTAATAGGAAATTTGAGACATAACATGGATTGCATGTCTCACTAGTATAAATCTGCTAATTTATTAGTTCAATTTATTTTAGTCAATTGAAAATTAATTATCTTCTTTACGTAAAGAGACTTTGGAAGTCTCGGATTTGATCTCTGAATATGGAGAAAATTCTATTAGGAGCGTCACATTCAAATAGGCCCTGCAAAGCGATTTGAATTTAATCAAAATTCTAATGTGAGCTCTGAATACCGAATGAAAATACTATCGAATAAATGGTCACAGTCTAACCCTTGAATAATGGAAGTTTCCTTTTTCTCTCTTCTTTTTGGAAAAACTGTATTGCGCAGAGTCTTCCACCATTTGACTGGAAATTTTCACACATAATAATAATAATTAAAAAAAATTAAATAAACATTCTAAAATTGCAGTTATATAATTAAATCTGAAAAGTATGTATCAGCTGTTAAAGATGTGAATATAATAAATCGAGGAATATTTAATATTAAAATAGATGATAAAAATTAAAAACGAGAATTTCTTTTTACTTTATAAATTGTTTGCTGTCGATAAAAAAAAAGATAAATAAGACCACAATAGACATAGGTTCACACACTAACGTCAAATAAGTCTGCCACGTAAAAATAAAAAAAAACTCTAAGCAGTGACGCATATAATGTAAAGTTAATCGACTCAACTAAAAGTCTAAAACCAGTATAAATATACACATATAAAAATAATTATATAAATTTCAAAAATAAAATTTAAATTTTGAACTCGTTTAATAAATCGGTTATCCCAAACTTAGGGGGTCCAATCCTAGGTAGGAACTAGGAAGCTGCCATTATTTATTTTTTTGTAAAAACATGGAAATTGGCAAAACAATTGATGCTTAAATTTCAAAGTCAATAGATTAATCTCCACGCTGTATCATTTTATTTTCTCTTTGCGTTAAAGTGACCCAATTTTTTCTTCCACACTTGCCTTTTTTTCTTTGGCTTCTATCATTTCTTTTTCATTTGATAATGTTGTAACATTATCAAATTAAATTTATGAAAGTAAGTTCTATCATTTTCAATGAACCTTCCTCATGAAATCTTAAACCTAATTTAAATTTATCAAAAATTTAATAACTTTTGCTTAAGTCCTGTATTTTATACTTTTCTTTAAGATAAATTAGGGATGAGAAGAAAAATGGGAGGGCTCGTTACTGTTCACCAAATCTAACTATCTAAGTCTTCTTTTATTTATTTTTTGTTTGTTGAGAAAATCTTAAGTTAAGGTCAAAAATCTTGGAATTAAGTGTCCTCTAGCTATAGTAGTGATACTAAAGTTTGGGCAAATAATGGTGAACGGTTTTGTTTACTTATTATATACTTTCTCGTTTCTATTTGTTTTTCTGATTTTTTTAATTTATTTTTAAAGGGATGTATCTTTTTCTTTTTGACAATATTTTAATTTTAATGTTTCACGTGATATGTTAAAGTTCATAAAGTTAAAAGATATTTTAATAAACTTTACATATCTGTAATTTATCTACATGATTCAAAAAGTTCCTTACTTTTTTCGATATTTATGTCAAGTTAAAATCAGACAAACAGATTAAAATGGACGAAGTAAATTCATGCAACTTTCATTTTAAGAATCACGAAAATTCATATATTTTTGCTACCAAATACACAAAAATAAAGAGAGACAAACGATATTGAGAGGGAGATGGGTGAGATTCTTATATATCTTAGATACATGTAAATCACACTAGATACACTCTAGATACATGTCTTTATATTTATTTGCATGTATCTGAATTACCAGATTCATGGTGAGAGACGAACGAGATTCGTTATTATCACATATACATGCGAATACAGTTGAATACAATGTATCTTATACTTAAATTTGACCTCATATATTCGATATACATGTATCTGAAAACAGCAAAATCTGCTAAGACATGTAATATTTAAAATTTCAAACTATAATTTATCTAAATAATTTACTTTTTTTTTTGTAATACTAATATCTATGTTGAAGCAGAGATCTTGTCACCTAATGAGAAGTTTCCCAAGACATGCTTAAGTTTTTGGGGTATAGCAGAGTGGAAGCCCAATGAGAAGCCCACCGATTCACACAAAGAAGAACGAAGAACCATACACTATATAAATAGCCCATCAAATTCAATATTGAAAATTTTTCGCATATAGCCACTTATAAATAGCCTAATTATGCTCTATAAATATAGTTTGCTAATTATGAATTGTAGCCACATGTTATGAAAAGATGAGTGTTGAGCGAGATTGTGAGAGGAGGAAAGAGTCGAGCGAGAGAGGATAAAAAGTGGGAGAGAGGTAAATTTTATACATGTATATTGCTTAGATAATTGTATAAATGGCAAGTGAGATTGCGAGGGAAAGGAGTGAATCGAGCGAGAAGGACAATAATTTATATAATTCGAATCTCTTTTGCATAATTCATGGATACATTTGTATAATTCACTTATTTTTGTATGATTGAGTAATATAAAGTGTAGAATTATACAAATATAATAAAATTCGAAATAACGAGTTGATACAAATCAAACATCTGAAATTTAAACAATTATAGATACAGTATATATTACAAAAATTACATTATATAAATTATAATGTGCCAAATTTGACTACAAACTTAAAAAGTTATACATAAAAAAATTGAAATATATATTGTAACAAAAATGAAAAAAAAACAAAGGAAATTATCGAATATACAAATACAAATGACCGTATACATATTCGAATCAAACGAAGAATTGTTTGTTGCAAATTATACAAACATGACTAACTATACAAATTTGAAATCAGCAAACATATTTAATGTATAATATTAATTGCGAATGATAATTATAACAGACTATAATTATAATAAACAATTAAATAATATAAATTTACTTATTAATTAATGCATGAATCATATATATATCACAAAGTTGCTTCCCTTCTTTTCATTCACGATACAATATCTTTTATATTGCAGTTATTTTATACTGTATTAATAAAATAAAATTCAGTACACCATATTCTTTGATTCTCCGATTATTTTACAAAGAGAAAATAAGGGGAAAAGCACACGTGCAGTGCAACTGTGGGGAGGCAGAGTTTTATGGGTGTCGAGGAATCAAGGAAACATAGGACACGTCTTGCCTAAAATGTCATATCCACCTATATATTATCAAAACTCATTGGGAATTTAGATCCAATAAAAATGTCATTTATTTATATTTTAATTTAAAAATATATTTTAAACTCATTCTAGATCAAAATATTACATAATATTTAGAATATTATTGAACTAAAGTATAAAAAGAGTGATTTTTCAATTTTCGATATATAATGTATATTCTTTCTTCCGTCATATTGACCTTTATTATCCCTCTACATGTTCTCTTTTTCCTTTGCTATCACATGCACAACTTATGTCATCCTACCCCATCTTCAAAATTACTACGAGTAACATATATTGATTCGAGAAAGGGCGGTTTTAGATAATTCGATAAGAATTTTTTAAAATTGAATAATTTTTAAGTTTTGATATATATATTATTTTAGTTGGATTTCTGATGAAAGCTTTGTATTGATGTGAAAAGTTAGATCAAGAATATAGCTGTTGGGAAGTCGACTTTTAATATTATATGATATTATTAATTTTAAAATAAAATCAGATAAATTTTTGAATATATCTGATCATTCAACAATAATATTACATTTCTTTTTTTTATCAATATTTTTTTAGAATTTCATTAATTTTCATACACAACAATTTCTCCAACAACTAAAATCACATGTTTTATATTATATCTAAGATGCTCACATATTTAATTTCTAATCCTATAAGGAAACGTAATAAACCAAACATGTTCCACTAAGCTCATGATGGTGGGATTATTTTTTAGCTTTTTGTTATTAAATATCCGTCCAGTATAATAGAAGTAAAACAAAATTATTATTTTAAAATATAATTCGACTTAATGATTAAAGATGTATTTTTTTCTCATTTCATAAATGCTTAATTTGCTTAGTCTTATTTATTTTGTTCATTTTAAAA